TTTTATGTATACAAGATATTTTATTTGACCATCTCTCTCATGCAATATACTCAGCAGTCTACCTCGACCAAAGCGAGACATGGGTGGAATGATTTTCAGACAGCAATGTCATATTCAATAACATGATGACTTCTGTGTATCTATTTAGGTGTTAATATCGTATCAGCCCGAAAGCGTATAAGTCAGAAGTAATTTACGTTTTGCAGAAACAATAATTATGGCGAATGAATCATCCCAATTATTAATAGTAAATGGCAGTCAAAAATAAATTTAGACATAATTTATTTTTTCATGTGAGTGGTAGCGTATACAGTAGATTAAAAAATAAATTTCTTAACCAACACTAATGAGGAAGTAGAAAATGTAGTTATGTAACATAATGTAAGAAATAGAATGAAAATCTTTGGAAATAAAGAAACTAAAATTGTTACGTGATATCTGTCCTGCTATATGGCAGCAAATGCTGGACAATCACATCAAAGATGAAGAAGAGAGATTAAGCAACAGGATCATAGTTCTACAGAACGATGCTGAGGATGTCATAGACACTGTATTTTAGAGAAAATGGAAACAAAATGGAAACTTATAGTTAATATCAGAAATACACTGTTGCCGTTTCTAGGGCACATAATGAGGAAAGAGGGCTTGGAAAATCTGTTACTCACGGGAGAGATTGAGGCAACTAGTGCCAAAAAAAGACAAAACATAACATACTTAGCAAATAGTTGGGAGAACAATGTTTAGAAGATATAAAAAAACTAAATTTATTAGGAGTTTGTTGGGTCGAATAACCAAAATTAGTCATTTACGCTTTTTAAAATATTCGATAATAAATTTCAAATTATTATTCGACCACTGACAACGTTTCTCTCACTTTTTCGAAGGCCTTTATTTTGAGCTATCACCTGCTACTTGGAAACTATAAATACCGAAGATATAAAATAAAAGGAAATGAAAGGATCCGTATTGTGAACTCAGACAATGGATCATTCAACAACTGAATCAACTTTGCCGACGTAGATTCTCCAACAAAGTTAAGCACCTACTTTTTCCTTCTTCTCAAGGGATTTATTAAACACACCACATGCTTTAGGAAATATCAAATAAATGGTTATTCGTTATTAAAAAATCTATGTCTTTAATTTCATTTAATGTAGTGTATAACCATTACGTTTATTTTTTTTTTTTTTTTTTTCAAAGTACATAGTTTCAGTAGTGTCTTATTCCTGACAGCACACGGAATAACTTGTGATCACAGCTACTAAATTACACTATCCACCAACAAGCTACGAGGGACAAGAAATTATGGAGAGACATGGTCGCCTACTTTCTGAGGGAACACGACACATAGAGAAGAGAAAATCCTCGAGAGTGCCGCCATTGAATATTACCCAAATCTTAATCTACGCCCTTTCACCTTTCTTAACAGAATTAATACTCTCCCAGAACGGTATCAAGAAATCAAAAGAAAGTAGTTGAATCCGTCAAGACGGCAATAAAAACAATATCGCCACACGTGACAGTAATTGACGTAATTTTCACTTAACGGTATGAAAATAGTGTTCTCTAAATTCTTCCAGTTACTAAGGACATTTTGTTTTGTTATAATTAGTTACTATGTTTAATAAATTCATTTCATTTTTGCTATTGAAAAAGTCCACATCGGACGAAACGCGTCGGCAACTATTACAGTTTTCCTATTGTATTTTACATTTATAAATATTGTCTTTTCTACAGGTTAACTCTGAGAAATTTTTTATAAAGAAAAGTGTTAATGGTTTTCAAGCAATGAAGCAACGCCCTGGAGACATCTAGAAAAATATGTAGTGTTGATAGTCAACGAGTCATAACTGACTGGCATGTACGAAATTATTTATGTCTGAATTTTGACACATAGAAGTAGAAGTACCTTTTTATACGCATGCACTGTGGAGTAATGGATAGCGGCTCGGAGAGCCGAGTTCGAATACCAGTCGAATCCATTACATTCACTTACGTGCTAATATCCTTGGGAAAGGAGTGAATCCTCTTCTTCTACCCCCAGCTATGGGTGAATAGCAGGGCAGACTGGGTTCTATAGCCTTAGATGGCAAATGGTCTACCATAGAAAGAAATGGCAACCTACTGCCTCTTCAGACATGTATCGACAGATACATGATCGCCTAAGCGTGTATCACGAATGACACATAATTGACTGACTGACTTTCCAGTCGAATCCATTACATTTACTTGCGTGCTAATACCTTTGGAAAAGGTATTAATCCTCTTTTTCTCCCACCCAGCTATAGGTAAATAGAACAGACAGGGTTATATAGGCTTCGGTGACAACTGGTCTACCACAGAAAGAAATAGCAAACTACTGCGGGAAAAAACTCTGAAAAAATATCGATAGACACATGATCGCTTAAGCGTGTATCACTTATGGCACATAGCTGACTGATATAAATTTGCATTCATTAAATAATGTATCTTTGTAAAGAAATAATTTCGGCTCATAAAA